TGTCTCCATATTCATCACAATGATTATTCAATACATTTGATATCATCATTGACATAACAAACAATTGCATCACCCAGATAGTAATAACACCAAGGCCATGCATAAATGAAATTTTTAATAATGTGTATCTACCCAGATCTCTGGGGTTCACAAAAACAAATTACTTTTCCTTATAAATAATAAATCTGATGTTGATCACAGGTGTCAGATTTAATTAAAAATTTTCCTATCACAAACATGTGGTTGGGTGCTTTCACACACCTCCATAACTGTGGGATTTTTCCCACAGGTGAAGGCCCCCACATGTCAGAAGGTTTTCAAGGTGGGCAAAACTTTTCTTATCTTCCCCTCAGACCAGGCTTGGCTGTTTCCATATGAGCATTGATCATTGATGAGGATCGACATTTGTGTTATATACCTCTCTAGAATAAAGTTGGTATCTGCAATTGGTATGAAATTCCGCAACTCAGGAGGTTGTAACCTGGGTTGCTGTCTTGGATTTTCTCTGAATTCTGAGCCTGGGTTGCTGTCTTATTGGTGGCATGCTTACTCACCAACAACCCTACCCCATTCAAAAAACAAATTCAGTTGGTAAAATAAAATCAAAGAGAAGCAGAGAATTTGGGAAAATGATTAATTTATAACATACCAAACAAAATCCAACCCATTTTATTTTGCAGATTCTCTTGATATTCCTCCAGAGTTGCAAGCTTGTTGGTCACAGTACCATTTTTATCCAGAGGTAGACAACTTTTCGGCCAACATGGCAGTGGCCATCTCTGATCTGGGAAGATTAGTGAAAGCGTCATTGACAATGATGCAGTCTTGATGCAGCTCCAGGGCAGAGCGACACCCCCCTGGAATTTTGTTGCATCATCATATCATCGGGCGTCGCAAGTCAGATTAGCCTTGTGTACACAAGGAAGATGTGAGAATGACTGTAAAGTGTTCAAGGCAGTGTGTGTGCTTCAATGTCTGCCAATTTCCGAATAATCAAACATCGCATATTTTAAATGTTTCTTTTTCAACAGTGTGCTGCCTTGACATCTTGTAATTATAATAATATTATTAATATTATTGATTATGAAAAGTAAAATATTATCAATGAAAATCTTGTAATTACCCAGCAAGATCTGCTCTGCGTTTTGATTTAAATGACATATCAATGCAAATTAAAAAAAAATTACCTCTGGTTGATTATTAACATGTTTCTTTTTAGAGCCCAATCATGCCAAATAACATCACTCGCGTTTTGTCATCTGTCAAAAAATAAATTGTTTTTCCAAAAAAAAAAAAAAAAAAATCAATCGCGTCTGTCCTACCAAAAAAAAACCAATTGGATAAATAATTAATGTGTAAACGTCGATCATTCTACAAACTTCTTTTTTCTTTATTTTTTTCTGCAAAAATGCCACGTAATAAAATTATTAATAATAAAAGAGGCAAAGATGATGTTCGAGCTAGTGGAAGTGGGTAAGTGTTTTAAGGATGGTGGTGGTGGTTATTGCCCACCACTTGTCGTTACTCTAGTTGTAAATTTAATACTTGATTAAAACCGTTATTTTAATAATTCCAGACCCAAACCAAATATTCTCAATGTTTCCAAATTAATTAATGCAACTAATGTAAAAACAAATCCAAATAATTGCAAATTACTAATAACAGAAGGTGATTCGTCAAGAGGGTTGATTTTGGCAGGACTTGGTGCCGTCGTTGATAAAGATGACTGGGGTTTTTATCCTCTTGGGGGAAAATTTTTAAATGTTCGAAACGCTTCAAAGAAACAAATTTCCGAAAATAAAGCAATCAGGGAATTCGAAGAAATTATTGGATTAGAACGAAATAAAGTATATGATTCAACCAACGGTTTACACTATGGAAAATTAATTATTATGACTGATCGGGTGGGTAATTGTAAAAAATATATCAATAAAAAAAATCATATAACAACTAAAATAATTTATTATATCTATAACAGGACCACGATGGAAGCCATATAAAGGCACTGATAATAAACTATTTAGATTATTTTTATCCGAGCTTACTGATATTACATGAATTCCTACACATCTTTGTTACGCCTGCTGTCAGAGTGAGTAATAATAATTATCTTGTATTTTTAAGTAATATATACATATATAATTAATTTTCTAATAAATAAACAGAGCGGGAGCTTGCTTTTTTTTTCCATATGTGATTATGAAATTCATGTAAAAAATAATGATAAAGGTTATACAAGGTTTTATAAGGTACTTGATTTTTTAATTCATTGATTCCATATTTAAAAAAATCTTTTAATAATAATGTTATATTTGTTTGGAATTCCACCATTGATAATTGCAACTGCATAGAGCTTGAGCAACCACTCACCAGAAGAGATGAAAGAATTTTTTAAAAACTACCATAAATATGTTAAAAGTGTTAAACCTTTGGATGAAGAAGATCGAGATCTATTAGAAATGTTTTTTGGCAAGCATAAAGGCGTAACATTAACCAGCTGGATTAAAAATTTTAAGGTATATTTTGTTTATTCAATAATATATTTCAATTAATATTTACAAAACCTTTATTTAAAAATCTATATCTTGAATTTATTTTTTTAATATCTTTTATTTAAAAAATGATTAAATTATAGGATGATGGGGTCAATTATAATCAAAGTGAAATTAGTATTAAAGATATTATAAATAAAGAACTTTCGTTTTTTGTCCAGAACAATAATTTAAGATGCATACCGTCGTTAGTAGATGGTTTAAAATTAAGTCAGTTTAAGACATTATATGGTTGTATTGAGAGGGATACGAATGAATCAATATTGGAAAGTATGTTAATTGAGTTAAAAAAATTTTTCTATCATGAGTAATTAATACAATTTATTAATTAATTACCATATTATATTTATAGGTATCGCACTTGGCAGGTTACGTTGGGAACCTTACTGGGTATTTCCACAATGAAACGAGCCTTCATTCAACCATAATTGGATTAGCACAGAGATTTGTAGGTTCAAACAATATCAGCCTACTTGAACCAATAGGGCAATTTGGTACAAGATATGATGTAGGTATTTCACTTTATTAAAGCATATATGTACACACTTATTATAAAAAAAATTTTTTTTTGCCTACTTTAAATTTATTTATTAATGATATAGGGGGGAAAGGATGCAGCAGCTGCTCATTACTTATCCACAAAACTTGCATCACTTACAAGGATGATCTTCCATCCTGACGATGATAAATTGTTAAAAGAGCATGCAGAAAATGTTGTACCAAATTGGTATGTTCCAATCATTCCAATGATACTTGTTAATGGAGCAAGAGGAATCGGTATAGGTAAGCATTGTTATTTTAATTACTAATAAATTTTGTAAAAGGATTTCACACATAATAAATGTGCTTATTAGGTTATAGCACCAATATTCCCAAATACAATCCTAAAGATATTATAAAAAATTTGAGAAGATTAATCAAAAAAAAGGAAATATTGCCAATGCAGCCTTGGTATTGCGGTTTTCAGGTAATTAATTTTTTGATACAAAGGATGATTTAATTATATAAAAAAAATACTAAATACTTTGTTGCTGTTATTCAGGGTGTGATAAAACATATCGACAAGGATAAGTATAAATCATATGGTGTCATCACTAAGATAAATCCAACTCATCTAGTAATCTCAGAATTACCAATTGGTAAATGGACTAATGATTATATAGTGATGCTTAATAAGTTTGAGGAAAATGATATTATTGAGGTATTGAATGTTTTATTGATTTGGTAAATTTGGTAGCCTTTTATTGTTATTTAATTTCAAATAAGATTTAAATAAACAAATATTCTGCTACAACTTTTAGAGTATTGTTAGAAATAATTGCACGGATGAGAAAATAGATATAGAGATTAAATTAACTCCCAAACAAATGGAAGATGCTGAAATAAAAGGATTGGATAAGGTTTTTCAATTAACCACCATATTAACAACATCAAATATGATGTGTTTTGATCCAGATAATAAATTAAACAAGTACAATACCCCTGAGGAAATTCTTAATGAATTCTATCAAATACGATTAAGATTTTATGTAAGGAGAAGGGTAAGCTACCAAATAAATATGATTTTAATTGAAATTGAAATATATATACAAAAAAGAATATTTTGTTTTGTTAATTAATTTTTAAACTCTATATATACTAGTCACATCGAATTAAAGAATTACAACAACAAATAAATAAAATGCAAAATATAATTAGATTTTTTCAAGAAGGAATTGATTTTAAAGGTTTAAATCATACAGAAATAATAGAAGTTCTCAAGTCACATAAATTTGATGAATTATCTGAAAAAAATAATATTAATAATTATGATTACTTGATGAATGTTACACATTGGAATTATTGCAGTGAAAATGTATGTATATATTAAATTTTGTTAATGTATATATATGTGCATGTATAAGATTATTTTATTCAATGAATGTATACTATAAAATTTAGTTAAG